GATGTCAATAATTTGTAGAGTGTTGGAAGACATGTAATTGGTCTGTATTGTGTGGGGTCTGTGGTTTTGTTGTTTTTAGGTTTCATGTAGGTGATGCCCCGAGTAAGAAATTTTGGCATATCTTGTGGATTGACGATGATGTGTGTTAGATGTTTAGCTAGTTCCTGATGCAGTGATGTAAACTTTTTGTACCAGAAATTGTGAATGTTGTCTACACCAGGTGTCTTCCAGTTGTGTGTTCTGTTAACAGCGTAGCGAATGTCGTGTATGTTTATTTCAGCACAGGGCATAGTTGGTATGTTGTGCAAGTTTCTGTTCTCCTCTTCGATCCAGCCTGCTTCAGCATTGTGTGTAACAGCATTGGACCAAAGAGAAGACCAATAAGTTGTGAGTTCTTCTTCTGTTGGTGTGCCACTGTGCTGTGTTTCAATATTTGTTTTGGTACTGATTTGTCTGTAGAAAAGTTTTTCATTGTTTGTGAATAATTTATTTTGTTGTTTTTGTAGTGTATATGTCTTGTATCGTTTGAGTCTACGTGCTTTGGCTGAGAGTTTGTTTTAGTGTATCGACGTATTCTGTAATGTGTGTGTTGTGATGTCGTGTTTTGTGTGTGTTTTGATTTTCTTGAAAATGTTTTTGAGTTTATTATTATTATTATTATTATTATTCCCCACGTTTGAAGCTTATAAAACAAGATTAAAAATGGTGATGTCATTTCCTGTTTAATGAAAACAAGTCTCTCTAGATTTAACTCTTACATTGTTAAATAAAATTTTTATTTCATATTTATTTTCAGATATGGTGGTATTGTGATATTTGAAGTGTAACAAACATGACTGCATGAGGAAACTGTCCATAATATTAACAATTAAAAAAATCAAATGCTAAATTTTCATATCACTTGTCTTTTTCATCCATGTGCATTAACCCTCTAGGTCACTTTTCTTCCAGAATTTCTAAGTTATGTAATTAAACCACCTAACTTTATTTGCTAAATTATAGAATTTGGTCTAATTAGTTTAGATCTAAGCTAAAAATAATCCAACTTTTGGATATGTTTAGCTTTTCGAAAATAAATTTATAATTTATTGTGTATTTATACTTTTCCTAATCTGGTTCAATAATTCTGAAACTATTCTCCAATTAAATACTGCTATAATACATCCTAAAAAAACCAGTTGTCAGTAGCACTAAACACTAAAAAATTTCTTACTTAATATTTGATCTAGTTCAGTAATTGTGCCCTCGGGCATTTCTATCCAATGAATGCAATGTTTCAATTTTTCAAAACCTTGTATTAATTATACCTTATATACATTATGTTTTAATAAACTTTATGGTACAACCTAAAAACAGTAAAATTTATTCAAATATGCAAGAGGAAAAAATATATACAAAATATAATTAAATACAAAAATATAAAATCAAGCACAGATGGACCTCAAAGACAAAGCTTTTTAGTACAGTACATGATATGACTGACAGATGCTAAAGGAAACCACATACATAATAAAACACTAGGCCTTTGCCAAAAAGTTAATCATATTGATAATGCTGATACTTAGCAGTACAGGTATACCTTGCCTTATGTCGGTAATTGGTTCCAGAAGAGGTGACGTAAGTCTAATTTACTTGTCTCCGAATCTACTTGTCACTAGGCTAAACCATGAATTACCATTCCCTGTTCTGTATTTTATTTATTAATGCATTTTTAATAATATATAATTAATAAAGATCTATTTTAAACTTACAAACAAATAAATTTTAATTTTTAATGTAGTACAGAAAAAAATAATCTANCAGTATTTAATTTTTTGGCTGCATTTGTAGCATTCTCACCACTTAAAAATAAAAAGTATAAAACATGTCTCTTATATTCATCTGTTACTTCCATTTTAACGAAAATAAACAACTGAAATGTTCTTAATTCTGAACAGTATTATATGTATGAGATCCAATTTAACACTTCAGTGTAAAAACTATCACATTAGACTGGCATTTTTAACAGCAAAACAAGATTTTTCTCAAGGTCATAAAATACCCACAAACTTATGGACTGACCTGATAATTCAGCATATAAATTTAAAACAAATATTTTCAACTGTTTAAAATAGTTGAAAATATTTTCAACTGTTTAAAATAGTTGAAAATATTCATTTGCTATAAATATATAATGCTGAATTATAAGGTCTTTTGCTCTGACTGTTTCATCCCATTTATCCCTTTTTACTTAAGATGGCCATCTTTTAAAAACAGACAATTCACAATATCACAATGAAATCTTGTTACAATGTACATTGATATGATTCATTTTAAGGAATATTTAATAAGAGAATATATTTCATTACTTTTATTATGATTCATTTAATACGTTATTTGCTCATAAAAATGACATTAAATATTGCTCATATTTTATCTAAAATTGAGAAACAAAGTTTCAATTTATTGAAGATAATACTCATTTTTTAATTGAAATATTTCATTCATAATTTCTATTTACTTCAATATTTGTTTAATCAAATAAGGCACTAAGAAGTCCTATATTGATATTTTCATATAATGTACCATGTACTGTACTGTACCTAACATGAAGGAAATACCTCATTTAATGGAAACATTAAAAATCCTTAATTTTATAACACAAATTTTTTATTATTATAAATAATAATAATGAGAAATATTTATATGGATTTAAAAAATGTTTTTGCTTCATTTTTAGTGTGTTATTGGAGGGGGAGAGAGAGAATTTCTCTTAATATTTAAGAAATAAATCTTACTAGAAACTTCTGTTCTGTTTTGTTTTTAATATGTTAAGCTGTTTAACAGGATTATAGATGTATAAATTTCCAAAGGAATAGATAAAGACGTCAAAATTCACAGGCAGAGCCTTGTTATAGCTACATCACCACTGTAGAGTTAACAGTAAGTACTATGTAAACATCAAAAAGAAACTAATTATGTTTATCTTAATTTTTTTATTCAAAAAGAAAGGAATCTAGCTTTCATTTGTTAATTTAAAGAACTTTTGACAAAACTAATTCTAAAATTATAAATATAATTAATAAATACTTGAAGTTAGTTGCAGTATTATTTTTATCAATGTTTTAAAAAAATTGCAGATAAATTTAATAAACTCTCAATAATTCTTACGTGAAATAAGTGTATCCGGTGGGTAGCGAAATGCAAAAATCCAATCTTCTTCCACTTTCAAAATCCGGCCAGTAATCCGTGCATAATATTCATAATTCTCTCTTCCAAATAAATTACTAACACCAAAATTATCTATCAAAAATTTCATGATTCTAGTTGCAATCTGAAAGATTAAAAAATTAAATATTGAAAATAGTTTCAATAAAATAATGATTGTTTTTAAACATAACATAGCAGTGTTTAGATGATTATAATTAAAATTTTCAACTATCATATTTATTTATTTCATTACATTAAAGTCTTGACAGACATCTGATTTCCACTCCCTACAATAACTTATCATAAAAACAAATAACATCCCTTAAAATATAAAACAAACAAAAATAAATAAATACCAATGATAAAATAAAAACTGGTAACAAATCATAAAAGTACTTTTTGTACTCTTAGTATAAATGTGTAATGCAGATTTTTTTATGTTAAAAAGATATATTTCTAAATTGTTAAATTTTGATTATTATTTATGTAATAAGGAACAAGATTTTTGTCATTTTATCTGAAAAACATTAAATTAAAGTTATAAGTAAACATTAAATTTTCTAGAATTAAAATTTATTTTCTATATTAATTGGAAAATTAATATTTTAAAATCAATACATAAATAGTAAATCTAAAAACTAAGCAAATACTGCATGAATAAAAAAAATTATTGTTTGATAACAGACACACACACACAAAGTGTAAAACATACATAGCACATCCTGTGCAAAAGAATATTATTATTATTATGCAATTTTTTGCCTTGTTTACATACAATGTGATTACATTATATACTAAATGTGAGTGCTCTGATAAAATTTGTATAAATTAAAGTTTTTTTTGAGAGTTGTTACCATTAATTTCCATAGTACTGTATATTCACATAAAATAATGCAAAATATTAGAAATGTGTTTTCATGATATCTATGCAAATATCATAATGTAATGTAATTTACAAGGGTCATTCTAAAAGTAAAGAATGTTTGTTTCTCTAGATATTTTTATTTAAGATAATGAAACAAAACTTATTTTACAACACACGATACCTTAGCTATATTTCTACATAGTCGCCATACAAATTTAAACATTTGTCATAGTGTAACATCAGCTTTTCTATGCCTTCAGTTCATTGTCACTTCCATAGTGATTCCCAGCTAAAAAATGCTTCAATTTTTGGAAAGATATCATCTCTGAGCCTAGTCAGGGTTATAAGATGGATGTTCAAAAACTTCCCACTTCCCCCAAAAACTGCTGAAGCAAGTTCTTCGTCAGCGATGCAGCATGCGGACGTGCATTATCCCAAAGAAACACAATGCCTCTGGACAACAATCCCTACTGTTTGTTTCGAACTGAAGCTTCATCACATTACCATAAACCTCAGTTATCTGTCTGTAAATTTTGATAGGGCAGACTTTTTTAGCATTCAAAAAGTGTATTACACTACGAACCTCACTCTTGGCAGGATCTTTAATTTTGTCACACATTTCAAAGTCACACTGTAAACAGTAAACAATCATTGGTGGCTCGCTGTTAGCATCAGACTGGCACAAAAACATGGGAAGGTTTATGATGCAGCAGTTGAGGGTGTGGGAGAACTGAACGGCATGTCAAATCAAAGCGTTCTTTTCTTTTAGAATGACCCTCGTATAAAAAACAAACATTCAACACACACAAAATCATTTAACATTAGCACTTTTAATCTTGTAATAAAATAATTTCCTACTTTAATTCATAAAGCAATTTAATTTTGAATATAAGAAAATACCTTAAATCTAATAACATCTTCCATTCTAGCTACTTTTCCATCACTCACACAAGATTGAAAAAAACTTGGAGCCACACTGACTCCTAAAGCTTCAGAAGACATGCCAGTTTGAGCACGATCTGCTGCCTGAGCAATGGCACGGAATGTTCCAAATAAAAGCACCAACAGGTGTTGAGCAACAACTGGAAGTGAAGTGATTAACCTGAAAAATATGTATGAAAATATCAGTTTATTTATATTCATCATTTAGATGAATCAAAATCTTCACAAAATAAAAACTCATTGTGTTAAAAAAGATTCAAGTGAACTATTAATAATTTAGTGAAGAAACTTTTGAGAACACTTTCAGACTCATTTAATTTTTTATTTGAAAATAAGATTTAATTTTAAAAATGAAGTGGTCTAGCAAAGTTTAATACTTTCACAAAACTGCTAAAAATTATTTTTAAGTTCTAGGCTACATTTTAAAATTTAATTATCAATCTTGGATAAAACAAGTGTCATACAAGTATATATATATAGTAAAAGAGGATGGATTTGCTATGGATGCTTAGACCATTCAATCAATTGCTACAAAACTCAGAAGTTATGTTCATATACTTCTGAATTAGATCATGTCTCATCACTCCAAAATATTGATGAATTTCTACATATCAATTTCTGTCAACATTCAATTTTCTAACTTTACATGAAGTGCTATCTATTGGCAAAATTTAAGAAGCTAATAAAGTATATATAATTCTTACAAAAATGAATTTAAAAATATATACATTTATTATATTCACTTTCTGTTTGGGGCCAAATTTTTTAACTGAAACAACATGACTTTTGGTTTCATTCAAAAGTTCAAATATAGTTAATTGGGCTTCCGAAGCTCTCCATATCTGATCTCAACTTTCATCTATCTAAATTCATTCTCAAAATTAGGGACAGACAGCAGACAAACAATGAATTTATACAGTTTTCAAGAGGCAATTAAACCATGCATCCCAGATCTTCCAGAGATGCATCCTCCTTGGCAGATCGCTCACGTTTCGCATTGCCATAATCAAATAAACCAAACCAATTCTAATATTTTTCTATACATACAATATTCACATGGACAAACTTAACTACCATAAAACTGGACACCCAGCCCCACCCAAGATTTCATCTCTCCTTATTAAATTAAACCCATTGCCCCAAACTTCCTTCACTGGTACTGCTTAAAGATGTTTTAATGTTCCAAATTAATGTACAGTATATGCAACAATTTTAAGGTATAAAGTCTTTCTGTGCTGATGTTTATTTTATTTTTCATATTTATTATCATGGTGAGATTGCTTCATCCAAAATTTCCTGTAGTTGTAGTTTGTGTAATGTGCACTATATTCACATGTTGAGTTTTACTGTCAAATCTGCTTCCACTATTCTTATGCCACAATTTTCAAAACTTTCCTTTACTTAGATGTTTTTGCTGAGCTTTACTTTAACCTAGTTTCACCAATTTTTCTATGGGATCACATAAAAACAATTATTTAAAGAAGAAATTACGTAAAAATGCAAGAATAAGTTTTATATCAAATCTTTTATTGAATATTAAGGTTAGCAACTTTTATCATGAGCAGGGCCATCACAGCCTATCCAACATGGATGATTTTTCAAATATTAATAGTAGACAAGTATTAATGGGTAGTTGCTGACCATCCTCACTTCCAGGAAGCCAACAACTACTTTTGGTCAAATTAACTTCAACCTCCTTCCAAAACAGTCCCTTCTTCCTTTCATATCTAGTGGTATGGTATCATTCAAATATGAATATTGCATAAGAGATTACCGGCCAGCATAAAATATGTTTTAAGTGGTTTTCCAGAGTGCAGAATTTAAATATTTGCTGTATTTTTCATATTTGATTCATTGGTAGATTACCATTTGATATTTGGTTGTGGATGAACAGTTTGTTACAGCTGATATTAGAAAAAAAAATAGTATCTTAAAAATTTAATATATTATATTTTCAATTGCTGTCTATTTGACCAATAAAATGGTGCCATTTTATACCACCCAAGTATCGCCTACCATGACAATGGTAGGCTAAAATAACCAATTTCTTTATATGGTTTTTGTTTTAATGTTTGTTATACTGTATTATAGTATTTGATTTATATAACTACAAAGATTATCTATGTAAAGATTTATCACACCAAGAGATCAATCTAACACATTTTCAAAATTATTTCTTCCTCTACTGTATACAATTTAAAGAAATTTTTAAATGTGCTAGATTTGTAATTTTTCATCCGATGGTTCTTTTTATTTTTTATTATTATTTGAAGACAAGTTGTGTTAGATTGTTCACTTGGTGTGAACAATCTAACCCTTATGTAAGATAATCTTTATAGTTATATAAATCAAATAATAAAATATAATATAATAGAAGGGTTAGAAGTATGAAATAATGTTTGTTTTTAGCAAGTTACACAGTAGTGGAGAAGTGCTTATGATAGGGCTTTTGTCCGTCTGTCAGATTTCCACATGCATGCACAATGACTTGACTTTCATTACCTAAGCGTTAGGTTCCATTCAATCCACTGGATTAAAACATTTGATTTAAACATTGGAAACTAGGCTTATAACTTAAGCCTAAACTCTATCAGCAAGAAATTTCCAACATTAGGCTTTGGAGTTACCTAAGCATTATGTTCTGTTCAATTCATTTATTGTGCATATCAACATGCATGCACAAAAGGAAACTGAACATTTTTGTTTATGGTCACTGTAAGCTATAGTAAAAACCAGTCAGTATATTATATTAAATTATAATAATAATTATTATAATAAATTTATTTTTTAAAATATTTGATTTGCTTTTGTGGAGCATACTATCATATAAAATAACAAGACTGGTCAAGCCTTTGTCCAGGCAATGCTGGGTTTACCTGCTAGTATGCATATAAAAAAATAATACAGGTATGCATCCACAAAAAGATTAATCAACCCAATTTATCTCCTCTACAAATTCATTCAACATTGTGTATGCAGTTGTAAAACTACATAAAATCATTGTCATGAAGCAGAGAGATTAAAAGGAATTTTATTACAAACTGAGTAGAAATAAAATAAACATGTGGTAATAATTTCCTCTGTCAGTTGTGTTTGATGTACAAAATCAAGATGTTAGATATTTTAAAGATTGAATTTTTACTCATACAAATTACTGATTTCTTGATGATCAGCAATTCTAAATTATATAATTTATATTTATAAAAATGAAGCATATTTAAATTTTAAAAAAAAATTAAATTTATAGTTACCGATGAATTCTTTCACGTTTCTCATCTATATTTTCTATATTTATTATACTGAATAATTCTTCCTCATTTTCTTGACCAAAGATACCACCAGGCAATTTTCGAAGAAATTTCTATACCAAAGATATTTTCAGTTAAATGACTTCAAAATAAATTTTTAAAGTGAGAAACTTTAATTCATAGGATAGGATAATTCATTCTATTTTTTTTTCTTTTTTAATTAGTCAAATTTATCAAAAGTAAGTAGTGAAATAATTAGGAAAGGTTACTATGGATAAAGTATACTGAAATATATGATTAAATTTGTTTCTGATTGGTTAGATAATGAAATTATATGTAAACTGAAAATGCCATATTCAAGTTATGAATCTCAACTGTTAACATATTTTTCTGGTTGCATACAAAGTTTTGACAATAATATATAAATTACATATATAAAATTCAGTTGTTTAACCTAAAATTACCTAAAGTTTGTGCTTAATACATTTAATAATATGCAGTTATACCATCCACCAAAATGTAAATAGATGCATGCATTCTTTTAAACAACTCCAATTAAACTGATGTTTGTAGATTTTTAAAAATTAGTATGAATTCCATCCTATCAATTTCAATTTATAATTAAAACTAAATTTTATAGTTAATGATTATATATTAAATTACCTTCAATACTGAAGCAATAGTATACACTGAAAAATTATCAATATTTATAAGCCTTCCATGCTGAAGGAAATGAATCAGTTTCTTCATATTTCCCTGATGTCCAGGAGCACGGAATATGTCCCTCTTGTATGGTGCTTCTTTATTTAATTTCAGTATCAATACCTATAAAATATGTATTAATTTTATATTCTGATAATTTATCAAAAATCTCAAGTCTCTTTAATTCTGTTTAAGGAATAATAGTTTACAAGTTTCAGGGGTTGCTTTGGAAAATTTTAAAATATTGCTATTTTGCCACTTCAAAATATTTATTGCCACCAGTTTTACTTACTAATTAATGCAGGTACCAGTAGCCTTATCAGTTTGGCATCTGGAAAGCAAAAGTAACATGTTAAGCTGTCACAAGGAGAAGGACAAATGTTCAGGTCTCTGATTCAGATGACACTTGGTGAGCATGTAGCCCTAAGCACAAAACTCCTCATCCAAATATTAGGACCCACTTCTCAAATGTTTCTGAAAATTGAGTGTTTATTTTATAAATCTTTGGAAATTTCATGTCTGATCAGCAATAGCTAAGTAAATAAGGTGATAGGTACTGGAGCCAGATGATATAGGTTTGAATCTTTGCAATTTTAGTTTAGGTTAATTTTATTACACATAAAAAAGCTATTATTTTACCATATCATTATTATTATTATGTTGGGTTTTGTGAGTTATACTCGGTTCACACCGGTGGCTGTGTACTATGCCAGACCAGAGTCAAGGCATAGCAACCAAAGCAAAACTAAAATTAAATAAGTGTGTTAGTGTCTGTATTCAGGAATTTCCTAACAATGTGGCATGTATTCAATATAGTGGCCTTCTGTAGTGTGATGTATGTATTTCTACTCAATTGTAATGTTCCCAGGCTTTTATGTAGTGTGTGGGGTATCACACCTGTACAGGAGAGAACAACACATACAATAAGCACCCTGTCCATCCTCCACAGATGCCTTATTTCCTGGGCGAGTTCTGTGTACTTGCTAATTTTTTCAGTGCATGTGTTTTGTACATTGTGAGTGTTTGGAATGGATATGTCTATAATGTNGCCTGCATTGCCCTATGGATCTGTAAAACTACTGGGCTCTCCCACCACGACCAGGTGGTGACCACGGGAGAGTTATTATTATTATTATTATTATATAGTGTTGGTGGATTACGTCCTATTCAGGTACTATTGAAGCCTAGTGCTATGCTGGATTAAAGTCAATGCATAATTGCAGAAAAACTATTGCTATAATTATGTACTATTCAAGAATAATACTTACTGTTGTTTTATCTGTTGTTTTTTAAAAAATTTCCTATACAAGATGTGTTTACAATGAAAGCTTTCTGTAGTGCAATATACTGTGTGTTGTTAAGACCTGATGCTTCTACACATTTGCAGAGTTGTCTTACTATAAACTTACTAGGGGAAAGTAAATAACAGAAAGTGAAACATTCAAATTTATATAAAACCTTAGATGCATGGTTCATGGTGATCTCTTTGGAAAAACACAGATACCAAGTAGAGATAACAGTTCAGTTCATAAATCACTGCCATTAGATTAAATCATTTTATTGTCATGTGGCACATTTGACAAGGGAACTTTTTGATTTAATAATTTTATACTCTTTTCTTAACTTTATGTAAACATGAATTCAGAAAAGTACAAGTAGATTTTTTGCTTGTTTAATTAGGTTTCTTTTGGTGGATATACATTTCATGTTAAGACATTATGTTAAGCTTAATAAATTTTATCTAAGCACTTAGTGAATAATAGTAAGACAGTTTATCCCAATCTCACAGTTACCCACATCTAATGTTACTTCAGATTTTGCATTAAAAAATAACAAATATATTAATTGTGTATCTAGGCTATGCTTGCTCATTTTTGTATAACATTCATATAATTCCAGATAAAGTAAAATTCTCCAGAATCCAAAAAGGAAAATGGCAATCAGATCATTTTCAGATGATTCCATGAGAGATACAGTGAATCTGCAAGAAAACAATTTAAGATCTACCATTTCAGCCTTAGCAGACCTCAGTATGTGAAACAAGTTTGATCAAGCCAATGTTAAAGCATGCGCCACAAAAGCAAATCAAATATTAATTTTGTTTAAAATAAATTTTATAAATTCTTGGAATCAAGTAGTAGTTCAGAAGAATTTTTCACTGAATATACAGTAAGAGATGTGGTTTATAGATTCCAGAGGAACGAGGTAGTTTTTACTATAGCTTCCAGTGACCATAAATGAAAATGTTCAGTTCCCTTTTGTGCATGAGTGTATGCATGTGCAATAAATGGATTGAATGTAACATAACACTTAGGTAATGCAAGTGAACAGAGTCATTGCACATGTGCATGTACTCAATAAATGGATTGAACAAAGCATGCACATGCACATGTCTGACAAACACACAAAAGTCTTAATATAAACACTTCACTACTATTGTGGAACATATTAAAAAGAAGAGAAATAATCCCAATTCTAGCATGCAAATGTTTGTTTCCAACTATGCTGTAAACAAAATATTCACTGAGAGCTGGAAAATACATGGTTCTTGATGTTCCTGATTTAGTCACTGAGCAAATGAAAAATGATTCTTCCATCACTGCTTGTAGAAGGAACTACAAACAGACAGCAGTCTTAGTTATTTTCCCATTAATCATTGCTCAATCTTTGTTGATTATTTTATTCACTTTCTCTTTACTTTCAGTTAAACAAAAATACTCTTATACCAGTAGTCAGAAATGCTTCTTTTTTTTATTGAAGTAAACAAAGTAAAAGTAGACTAAACCAAACTAAAAAAGTAAAGCAAAGTATAATAAAAAATGCATTGTTTTATTATATTCTGTTTAATGTCTTTTCTAAGAAGTTTTAAGCCTATGTACTAGAGGTTTTAATTTTGACATGTACATTTATTGTTCTTTGGGCTTTTGAAAATTTATATAATAAGTTTCAAAAATTTTCACAGAACACTGGTTAAAAATCATTGTGTTAGATTGTTTTGTCTGTGATTATTGCTCCATCATTGTATATTTTGTGTGAATTCTTTTCTCAGACTGTTTGTGGGTTTATTCATAGTATAGTTACTGGGTATATGAAAGTCTGATGCATTACTTTTGCTATTTGGTTATATTTATATAAGTAATCAATTTGTGTTAAAAGCTTTCAACCAGATGTGGTAGGCAGTATGATTGTAAAGTCCTTCTGCAGTGGGCAGGAAAATGGAAGGAGTTTCCAGGCACAAAGTAATGATGTTACAAGCAGACTGTCTGTCGAAAGAGTTAAAGTAAATTATGACCAAGCCACTTGAGCATGACCCACTGCAGAGGAACTTTATGATCACACTGTATTACATAGTTTCATGCATGATGTGCCATTTTTTTATAGGTGTTGCCTGTGAATGTTAGCTTTTAAAATGTGATTTCTGGAGCTTCTGTATCTGACTTGGTCTTGTATGTATGGCAATCAATGAACCTTTGTCTCTCCAAAGCAACAGCAGCTCATGATAAGCACTGAAGAACTGTTGCACCCCTAAAGAAAAAAAATCACAAAATAAGGGTCTTGATTGTTTTACATGTTAATTATATAAATTATTACATACAATTAAAATTAATTTTAGCATTAATAGAATTATTTTGATTTTGTATAATGTTTTGATCAGCACTTATATGCCGCATGCAGTCCTGCAACAGCACTGTTAAACAGTGCAGTGCCATCTCCAACGGTTATCTGACATTCTGCCTACTCAGATTTTTTTTTCTTCCTGCCTACTCAGAGAGCAGTTCTATTTGTTTGGCCATCTGGAATTCAAAGAAATGCTTGAATTCAAACTGTGCTGTTTAACAGTGTGGCCACATGGCAGTAATTATTGAGTAGAGGTACAGAATACTCCATGACAAGTAAATGCAATAAGAAAAAGACAATTTAATTAAAATAAAAATTTCAAATTAATTAAAATACAGTAAGACCCTGCTTAACGCTGCCTTGCTTAATGCTGATTCAATATAACACAGTCTGCTTGAAGCCTGAAAAAAGCTTAAAATTTACACTGATTTAAATTATTGCAGCATTTCATTGATTCGTATATTATATGATTATTTGCAAACACAAACCAATCAGCAAAAGATGGCAAAAAGGTGTACTTTCTTTAAATCTATGTTTGCTTGGAGCAATTTTGGAAAAAATATAGCAACATGGATGCCATAGGCAATATTGGCTTCGCTTGGCAAGAATTAACTGATAAATGCACAAATGAAGTATGGAAGAAGTTATGGCTGAAGATATGAAGATATCCATGAATTCTCAATGAGAAGAGCCTATCACTGTATTGTTAGGTTGGCCAAACTCAACCTAATTGATACAGCAGGACTAGGAGATGTAGACAAGCAGGATATTGAGGAGTTTCAGCAGGTTTCTGGTGAAAGCTTTACCAATGATGACCTTCAAGAACTGGCTGAACATGGAATTCTTGTGGAACTGTAAAATAGAATTTTGAAAACTAACCCAAAAAATTTCTCTACAGATTTCTTTAGTAAAAGTTTGGTAACGATAACTGAAATCGTTGATCAAATTGTAGCGAATGATCCAGATTTTGAAAGGAATGCTAAAGCAAAACAAGGTGTTTTGGATGCAATCTTCTGCTACTGACATATACTTAAGGAAAGAAAAAGCAACAAATGAAACTTTACGACTTTATTGCAAAAAAAACAAGAATTTCAAAAAATTTTAGGACCTTCATCACAAAAAATAAACTTGTGTAAAACTTGTAAATAAAAAAAATTTGTGTGCATATGTTTATGTTATTTAACATATACAGGCATACCTCGACTTACGTCGTTTCGAGTTACGTCGTTCCCGATTATACGTCGTTTGTCAAAAAAGTATATGAAAAATAAAAATCAAGTTTAATTCATTTTATTCGACTTTACGTCTGTCCACCACAAATATTGAAGTCGTAATATCACTAGAAAAACGTTTAAAGCACATAAAATCATATTAAAATATATACTAGTATGTTCTGTATTTACAGTACATGCATTCGTAAATTTAGAATACTTTTTTCTGTACTTTATTAAAAACTAAAATTTATTTGTTTGTAAGCTTAAAATATATTTTTATTAACCATATATTATTAAAAATACATTAAT